TAGACAAAATGCCAGAGCTTTGAAACTTTGAAAACTGGCCATGGCCATACAAATTCTTGTATAGCTCCGAAAAATTTTATCGGATTTAGTTCAAATTTTGGATAGACTTCATGTCCATACATATACACACGTAAATGTAGATTAAAAAAAAAAAAAATTTTGATTTAAAAAAAAAAACTTTAAAATTATTTTCTATGGGTGCGCCTCAGAAAGATTAAACCAAGTTAAAGATTTGGATGTCCTGTTAGACTTGAAACTATTATTTTCCGACCATATGTTTGTGGTTGATTTTATTAAAAGAACTAAAGATCTATTAAAAGGTCTAAAGAATTCAAAGAACAAATATTCAAAACACAAGACAAAATATTTAACAAAAACTTTATATGTATCTTTGGTCCGTCCGGTATTTGAGTATGGATATTGTATCTGACACTTTCAAAATGAAGTGAACCAAGATCGCACATAATCTTGAATCTGTGCAAAAAACTTTTTATACCCTTAGCTTTCCTTTCTTGTTTATTTTTATCTTCTGCTCTTTCTACTAGACGACTAAATTGGGATGCAAATGTACAAAATCTTATTCTAAAAAGTCTTCCAAATTAAACTTTTATTAATTAATCAAATAGCTTTCAATACAACCGACGTTCCTACTAGAAGGACTAGAAGCTTTTGTCCTCTACTCTTTAGCCATTGTAGTTCGACATATGCCTAGATGAATAAGCAGCGGCGGGCTTAGTGTTTTCTATTTTGTTTTGTTTTGCATGCGGTTTGTTAGAATTTATAGCGCATGCGCTTTTGGGAGCTTTGTAGAACTTCTGCACACTATCTGGTCGTGTTCCTACCTATTGCTTCAGTTCACTTACTTGTATATTCGGCGTTAATTTGAGAGGCTGCAGATCTTGCGTTAAATTTGAACTCCAAATAAATATTGGAAATTGAACTGAAACGTTTTTATTTATTCGACCGCAATTAAAAACTATTATTTGCGTCACCTTTTGGTAACCCCGAGGTAATTGCGCCCCGTTTTGGGTATTGTGATAATATCCATAATTCGCATTTGTTGTTTTTGTTGTCATTACCTCAGCTGGCCACGGACGTGCACGTCCACATCCAGGTGGAAATTGCTAAGCGCTCCATGAGAGTTGCTGCCCACTCTATGCTTTTGGATGGTACCATTGGTGATAAAATCTCTCCCATTCATTGCCGACTTCATGTCCTGTTGCATCCTTGCGAGCAATTAACACCGCACTGCTTCCGTTCCCGCCTCCGACTTGAATCGTGCATATGAGGCTGCGACCTCTAAGGCTCCGCCAGCTGACGTGTTTGTGATCCAGGATCGCCACGCTGAAGTAGTGTTCTTCACATCGAGCGTCAACCTTGTCAGCCTGTTTTGTGATTTAGCCAAATACAACTACCAGACCGTCTGCCTCTTGTGCAGAAAACGCGTTTTGGATGGGTAGTTTCTGGAGGTGGTTTTACCCCAGGGAAACTTCGTTAGGCTGCTTGATTCCTGCTGATTCCTCAACCAATTTGCACGATCGACTCAATTATCTTCTCCGAAAATTCTAGGAACTGGAAAGCTGCACTGATCCGATCGTTCAGGCTACTAAGGAGGAGCTTGATTGCGATACCCACTTCACCATGCACTACGGACATCTTGGATCGGGTTCATATTTCACAGGCCTTGTTTCGGTTTCAATCGCTTGAGCACAAGATATATCCAAATTTGAAGACCTAATATGCTGTGTTCATTAAAAAATACTTGGATCTGGGTCACATGTTTTGGTGCCGCAGGAGTTCCGAGGTCTTCCCTTATAACTGCTTCCTGAAGGACGACAGCTGCACTATTAAGCTGAGGTTTGTGTTGTCGACGGTTCGGCATGTTGTCCTTCAGGATTTTCCGACTTGGATGGACGACCTTATATCTGGTCTCCCAACGATAACTCAGATAATAGCCTAGACACCGACCTTTTTGAACAAAGGTCACTTTCAATTAAGGATGTAGTCTCATGTTCCGGCCTACTTTTAGAGGTTATTTAAAAAAAAATTTTTGTAATACAAAATAATGCGATAGTTTCAATTTTGAAATATGTTTTTGAAGGCATCATAAACTATTTGAAAATATTTTGTTTCTTGTGAAGTTTAATACACTTCACAGCATGCCAAAGTATGCATATAAAAAAAGTGGTAGGTTCTTGGCGTAAGTGATTTCGATTGCTAGAGTCATCCGAAACAAAAAATTAGAATAGATTATTCTTTAGTAAGCTGATGGCTCCATCCCGTACTAGAATGAAATATTTTCATCAATAAACAACAAAATGGCGAACTCACAAAAAAAAAATTAAAAAATATTAAGAAAAATTTATTTTAAATTAATGATTACCAAAAAACTAATCATTAAAAATAAATGATTCTATTACGGGACAGTTGTGTTACTTTTTAGAACAACATATGAAAATTTCAGCTAGATCGGTACCATAGAATTTTGTAAATCACCTGCGCCGCACACAAAAATGTCGTTCCGAGAAAAACACGGTTAAAGTTTAGACGCTACCGAGTAACTCATACTATTCGGTGTAGGCTCGTTCTCGATTATGGGCTGTATCTCTATATTATATATTTTTATACCCTTGCAGAGGGTATTATAATTTTGTCCAAAAGTTTGCAACGCAGTGAAGGAGACATCTCCGACCCTATAAAGTATATATATTCTTGATCAGGATCACCTCCTGAGTTGATATGAGCATGTCCGTCTGTCCGTTTGTCTGTCCGTCTGTCTGTCTGTCTGTCCGTTTCTACGCGAACTAGTCTCTCAGTTTAAAAGCTATCGACTTGAAACTTTGCAGGCACCCTTCTTTTCTTTGCACGCAGTATATAAGTCGGAACGGCTCGGATCGGCTATATCCTATAGCTGCCATATAACTGATTGATCGGAAATGGTATAACTTTGGAGTTAGAGTTAGAGTTAGAGACTTCAAATTTTACATGAGTGCTTTTTTTGGCAAAATAATACGACATGCCAAATTTCATAAGGATCGGCCGACTATATCTTATAGCTGCCATATAACTGAACGATCGAAATTGACCCAACTTTCGTGTTTTTGAAGATAGAAAGCTGAAATTTAGTACATATTCTATTTTTGGTCAGTTAATCCAACCCACCAAATTTCACAACGATCTACCGACTATATCCTATAGCTGCCATATAATTGAACGATCGGAAATGGTATTTGGTAGAAATATCAACTTTCGTATTTTTGAAGATAGGAGCTTGGTACTTTTTTTTAGATTTTTTATCGTAATTTATTGGTTTTATTATTATGTAATCATAAGAATCGGCCAACTATATCCGATGTTTGCCATATATATCCGGTTTTAACTGCAAGGGTATATCAACTTCGGCTCCGCCCGAAGTTAGCTTTCCTTTCTTGTTTATTGTATTTTTATTTAAAACTTTAACAGTACATTCTCAATAAACAGTACTTTCAAAATATGTGAAAAAAAATCGATTTTTTCAACGTCACACATCAGACTACATCCTTAAGGAAGTCAACAAGTCTGGCAGCCAAAATTCCAGAGTTTTTGGAGTCATACTTGAAATTTTATGATGGCAGCCAGTTTAAAAATACTCTTGGATTAGCCTGGGACCTTTCTGCTGACCTTCTGCAGTTTTCCTTTGAAGCCCTTCAGCCCACTATCAAACCAATCAATCCTATCTTCCGTCGCTCGGTTTTACGACCCGATGGGCTTGCGAGGTCCTCTCGTCTCGAGAGCAAAGATTTTATTGCAGAAGCTAAACAGGGAAAATTTGTCTTGAGATGAAAGCCATCCCCAATCCCTTGTCTCCTTGAAAAAGCACCCATCTAACTTCGCGCCAGAACCTTATTGGCTGTGGCTCCACCCAGGGACATCGTATCATTTCCTGCTTCATCAACTAAAAGAGTGGTCGCCTATGTCTACAAATCTTGTCACAGCATTTCTGTCCAGGATCTTTAGGAAGAAACCCATATGCTGTTCCGCCTCGTCCAGCGTACTAAATTTAAAGGAGAGATAAGCTCGTTAAAATTGCGCAGATTGGTTCCACCCTCAAGCCTGCTTGTCTTACTTGCTCCGTTTGTAGATAATGCTGGTTTTCTTAGTGGTGACTAACGACTGTGGAAATCTGTGTTGGATTTTGATGTCAACAAGTCCTTCCAAGAGGCCATTTTGTCACTTCGGCTATAGTGACTTACTTTCATAAAAAGAACCTACACTCTGGCCCTCGGGCGGTAATTGCAAAGATCCTTCCCAATATTGGCCTATTGGGGGGAGGCAGACCGTTTCAAGGGTTTTAAAGAAGTGCGTACGCTATTTTCGCTCTAATCCTCGTCTTCTGGAGCATATTATGGCCGATCCTACGACCGAGAGAGTTAAAGTGTTTCTAATCTTTAATGTAACAGGTGTGGATTTTTGAGGAGCGTTTTTCTATAAATTAAAGTCTTGAAACAAGGCCCCATTAAATGTTACGTGATAGTGTTCATCTGGTTCATTACGAAAGAAATAATTTTGGTGCTATCCAGGGAATTCTTTACAGCTTCGTTTCTGGGCGCTTCCAAACGATTTGTTTGTACGCATCGTAAGACCAGATATGGTTGGATAATGCTATTAATTATGTGCGTGCCAAGAATGAGCTGGTCGTGTCGAAGTAAAGATTCCTCAGCCTCAGCCACACGTCTCGTCTTGAGTTTTGCCTGTATCGGTGTGTATCGACGAATATTCGTGTGGCTATCGTGACGACATGTTTCGAGCAGTGGGCCCCGCGATACTTGGGTTCTAGGACTTGAGGACCTTGTTTATGCCACATAGGCTCAATTGTTAATTCCGGACCTCTTGTGTCAATTTCAGATTACCGCTGACTTAGACGACCTAGATCCCACTAACTCAAGCTCATTTCCAGAATGGCGGCTTTCAACATTCATCGAGCTGGACCGTATTGCCCCCAACTTTAATGGATTGGATGGGTGGGAGAGACTCTCCTTCTTGAAACAAGGTTCTGGTCGCGTTAGAAGGAAGAATATCTCACATTGCTGCAGCGGCGTTTCAAAAGGCGCACCTCTGCCCCGTCCTGTTTATTGGTAACGTAGTCCTGATGAAGAATGAAAATCTACCCCCCATGAAGTGACCTATAGCCAGGAGCTAATTACTAGTCGTGACGGAGTGAACCGTGTTGCCGAACTAAAGACAGCTGTTGGAAGCATAAAGCGATCCTTGAACGATCGGTGTCTAGGCTGTATCTGCTGTCCCTCAAGGACTTTGTTGAAGGGCCAGCCTTCAACGGAGGAGAATGGTGGGCCAAGCAGCCAAAGATAATAATGACTTGTCTTAAAGACTTTAAAGACAGATGAGCTTATCGGGCTTATCAGACTTTTTTATTTAACTTTTTGTCTCCCAGATTCGCATGCGCTTTGCTGGTATTTGTAGTGCATGGGATTTTGAATGATTTGTAGAACTGCTCTGCACACTAGCTCGTCATGTGTTTGTATGTGTCTTCCCCGCCTCGCCTCTTGCTTACGTAACAATAGACAGCTGCGTAGCTCGGAGCTTTCCTTGATAAGCTTCGCTTACTTGTTCGGCGTTAATTTGAGCGGCTGCAGATTTCTAATAAATATTGGAAATTTAAATGCAAATTTTTATTTTTTTGGCCGCATTTAAAAACTATTAATTTAGTAGCACACTTAATGAATCGGAACCGCCGGGATCCGTCGGATAAATCCGGACAATCGTTCTTTTTCGACTTTTTTCAGAATGCATTATACGAAATCGGTTAGATACTTAAGTATATTATCCATATGGATCGGTGAACTATATCTGATATTTGCAGTAATGTAATATGTTACAATAGAAACCACTAATGCCAAAGATCTATACGCTTTGGCTCTGCAGTTTCCTATATATATTGGGCTATATTGTTTTATTAAAAGTAAAAAGTAAATATTTATTTTTAATTATACATTTTTTTTTCAGGTTATGTTTCACGTGTAAAATCAAGATGTCATTTAATGCTATTGAATAAAAATGGAGAAAGCTGATTTCGATACTTTGCAGGCGACATCGGCCGAGCAAGACCATGACTTAACTAATACCATCAACCAAGTGGAGAAACAATTCTTATCTAATATTTATCTACAGGATTCACATAAGAACTTACAACAACAAGCCACTACTATGGCCCTAGAACAATACCGACTTCACCTGTATAACTATGCATTAAATATAGAACGTTTTCGATGTCCCCATTATGGTGCAGGTAGCAATGGATCAAACACAAATGTTCCATGGGTGACTTCGAGTCCTTATGGGCAGACCTCTGCCAGTATTCCGGCAGTTAACCGAATGGCTGCGCTTTCGACTATTTCATTTTTCCCACAAACCCAACGGCTTTTTCAGTCAGAAGAGCCTAAGCCTCAACATAGTTACATTGGTCTAATTGCTATGGCAATATTGGGCTCAGCTGAAATGAAATTGGTTCTTTCAGATATTTACCAATTTATTTTGGATAACTATCCATATTTTCGAAGCCGCGGTCCTGGTTGGAGGAACTCAATACGACACAATCTGTCATTAAATGATTGTTTCATTAAATCTGGTCGGAGTGCAAATGGAAAGGGACATTATTGGGCCATACATCCAGCAAATATGGAAGATTTTCGGAAAGGAGACTTTCGACGCCGAAAAGCCCAACGTAAAGTACGAAAGCATATGGGACTATCAGTAGATGATGGTGGCATAGACTCTCCCAGTCCTCCGCCCTTAGATCTTACAAGCCCGCCTCCATCTAGTTCTCAATGCTCAATGCAAGTATCTACCTTGGGATATCCACAAAACCAACAGTATATGGGTCAGATATTTAACCGAGGTACAATAAGTGGAATTCCCTGCTATACTGATCCAGCTCAAATCATACAGAAGCATTCGGTAATGCAACCACCGCACCTTCAGCAGCAGCAATCATCGCATATTGCGTATATTAACTCAACTACAACAACAACAATTGCCAATATGTATTCACACACACGAAAGCGTCAATTCGATGTCGCCTCTCTATTAGCTCCTGATGTGCAGATAGATGACAATGCCTCTGAAAACCAAGCAGCAATGGAAAATCCATCCACAACATCTCGAACCACAACTCAAACTCATCACACTTTTATTACTAAAAAGACCATACATAGAGAAGTTGTATTAGGACTGGAACCAGGGGATACAAGTGATGCGGAGGTCGATACGGAAATAGACGTAGAAGTTAACGTGGATGTAGTAGACGAAGTCATTAATCCACATCCGGATGTAATGCCTTACCCAGATGTCGATGATCAAGAGAAAACTAGAGAAGTAACGAACAACATATTATCTGGTGACGACAATATCTCGTACCTAAGTGATGGCAGGAGGTCATCATCTGACGCCGATGCAGATCATGATATTGACCTTGAGCCGCATAACTACTCTATTTCGAGCTGTGCAGGAAGATCATTTGGTAGCAGCAGTAGTCAACATGACGAGTCAAACTCATTAGAAGAATGTCCCACGAGGTCATGTAGAATTTCACCTACATCTCTCATATCATCCTTACCCAATTCTCGACATACGTCAAGCTTGGCCTTGACAGTTCCAAATGGGTATATTGCATTAAAGAAAGTAAACCCCCAAATACTTAGGAGATATTATGGCACATACATGGCGGCAACTTCGCGCCGTGCTAGCCTAGAAACTACTACAAATTTACAGATCAGTTCAATGACACCACCGTCAAACAGTGAAATAGTCACGAAAAAATAGAAGTCTCACGTACATTTTTCTTAAGAATTCAGATTGAAAAACAAAAATTCACTTCATTAATGAAAATAAAAAAAAAAAAACAATATACAATAAAATTTAATCAAATACCTCGAGTCATTGGTAAAAAAATGGTGGCAGTATCTTAAAAGGCAGTTAATAACGTATTTTTTTTTCATTTTACTGAATAAATTTTATGTATTTTCGTATCGGCTATTCTTATGTTTTATTTATGTAAAATAAATAACTAATTTAACTTATGAATACATTAAAATGACTATTAAGAATTGTTACAAATATTTGATTGTAAGTAGACGAAGAATCGTACATTTTATGCGGCGCTTTATTAAATCTTATCTATGTATATTGGTTTTGTCAGACGAGTTATGAGACTCTAAGAAACATAAGAAAAAAAGCCGACTGTTCTGGTGTGGTGTCTGGTGTGTAATATTGAAGATTTAAAAATGTTGGTAGGTATTCTTTATTAATACAGCATGCCTTTGTTGAAGGTGTTGAAACAGATTTTAACAATGACCAATAACCAAATTGACATTTTTGTGCTTTAAAATTATTCAGTCCGCTCAATAATTATATATTAGATTACCAGGTTGTGGCTCTTGGTGACTTTAATACAGTGGTCGGCAACCCAATACATGTATATGATTTTAACGCATTAGTGTTAGTAACGAATAGCAGAAAGTAGGCTGTGACCATGTCGTTTCACACATTTGGACTTACATTAAGTGTTTTAAGTTATAGAAGATACCCTCCAGATCACAGCATCAATCCAACCCTGAGGATTCATGACATTGATTTCGAAAACAAAAAAAAACGCTTGCCATTAAAGTCTCCAGTTGATTCATCCGTAAGGCTTTTCTGTTATATTAACTCAGTTATTTTATACAGCCTTGCACTCGTTTGCAGCTTTACGTTGTGTGCTGAGAAACTGCAACGCGGATCTATTCTAAATTCCCAAAAACACTGTGTAGAAACTTTTTTTTTCCTAAGAAATTATCTGTTCCTTTTCCTAATGTGAAGGAAATCATAAATAATTAAAATGAAAAATTGTATCATGTTACGTGTTACATGTAAATACTTTTGTTTGTTTATTTTTATACGTCAGACAGACAGCCACAATACACTACCATGAGGTAGTGTGTTGTAGTGCAAGGACGTTGTTACAAGTTCGTTCGTAGATACTAATTCGGCAGTAATTCGCAGTTTGTTTGGCAGTGTATAAGACAAATAGAGAAGTTTCAATTGCCCTTCCTTGTGTTGCATCTCATTAAAAATACCCTATAGTTGAGATATGACTCGAGTTGGTTACGGGTGTATACATATATGCAAATGCATTTTGATTTTATGCATGAGACCATGAAGCCAGACTCGGTGGAAGACTTGATACACGTCGGGGAATGTAGAGCTTCAAGATTCTCGATGTTTGAGAGCTAAGCATATGGTTCGATGGTTTCTTCGGAAGACAAATCGGTATGTCGGGATGGTATTGTAAGCTTTCAGGTATGGTGTAATTGATCTTAAAAGAATATTTCGACCGAATTGGACAATATGATGCTATCATTATGATGATGTATTTCTTCCAGACAAATAATTAGAAAAGTTATTAGACGACGTTAATAGCACAGTTTGGAAGTTTGATTAAAATTTTTTTTACAGTAACTAACCAATGCACTGCGATTAAACCCATAAACCAAAAATTAAAAAAAAACGGACAATAAATGACACTGCCTGCCAATTTTCACGGATATTGGAAATTAAAGCTTGATTTGTGATCTTTGAAACGAGACCCAGGCCAAACTGTTCGCATGCGCCGTTAAGGGCAGGCGACGTGTTTATACAGTCTAAGCTCTTCTACAGTACACAGTAATACTCCCCTAATCGGCAGTATTGAGAGGCTGGACAAAAACACTATCGTACCATGCAAATAGACCAAAAATTGAGAGCAGGAGTTAATTTTGATAGTATATTTAACATTTGCCACACATTGAAAAGTAAAATTTTACTTTGAAGTGTGGAAGGTTGCGGATATGCTTGAATTGGTCAATGTACTAAACGTTTTAGCATACCCTTACAGGGTCTCAAAAAAGTCTGGCGGTAAATTCGCTAGTTGGCGCTGAAAGCGCTTAGTTCTTGTCTTTTCTGATTGTCTTTTTTTTAAAGTCGTTCGTGAGTTATAGCGTCGCAATCATGGAGCAAAATAAAGAGACAAAATGGCATATTTTACAGTACTACTACTATACAGGCAAAAAGGCATCTCAAGCCGCCAATAAAATTTTTGCAGCTTATGGACCCATTTTTCACTTTCCATTTCCACCGCACAACCATGGTTTCAACGTTTTCGTTCTGGTGTAGAGGTGGTCGAAGATGCGCCATGCTCCGGAAGGCCTGTCGTCGAAAATTGCGATAAAATCGCTGAATTGGTCGAAAGAGATCGGCATAGTAGCAGCCGTAGCATCGGTCAAGAGCTGGGCATAACTCATCAAACCGTTAGAAACCATTTGAAGAAGCTTGGATTCACTAAGAATATATAGTGAATGGGTATATATGGGTGCCACACGAATTGACGCAAAAAAACATCTTTGAAAAAAAACATCTCGACGCAGGCGAATCGCTTCTAAATCGCAACAAAATCGACCCGTTTTTGAAGAGTATGGTAACTGGCGATGAAAAGTGGGTCACTTACGATAACATAAGGCGCAAACGGTCGTGGTCGAAAAGCGGTGAAGCGGCCCAGACGGTGGCCAAGCCTGGATTGACGGCCAGGAAGGTTCTTCTGTGTGTTTGGTGGGATTGGCAGGGAATAATCCACTATGAGCTGCTCCCCTATGGCCAAACGCTCAATTCAGACTTGTACTGCCAACAACTGGACCGCTTGAAGACAGCACTCATGCAGAAGAGGCCATCTTTGATCAACAGAGGCCGAATTGTCTTCCACCAGGACCACGCCAGGCCACACACATCTTTAGTGATGCGCCAGAAGCTCCGGGAGCTCGGATGGGAGGTTCTTTTGTATATACCGAATAGTCTGGATCTCGCACCAAGGGATTTCCACCTGTTTCTGTCCATGGCGAACGCGCTTGATAGTCTGAAGTTGGAAACAATAGAGTCCTGTTAAAAATTGGCTCTCCTAGTTTTTTGCCAATAGAGAAGCGAGCTTCTATGAGAGCTTTTTCGAGTCATCGAACAAAACGGCGCATATTTTACTTGAATCGCATTATTGTAACCAATAAAAATACCGCAAGACTTTTTTGACAACCTAATATAATCAAAAGTTGTCATAGGTGTACAACACAGTAAGAGACACATCTCCGACCCTATGAAGTATATACATATATATTATATTCTTGATTAGGATCAGCTTCTGAGTCGATATAAGTTGAAGTAAAGGAAATGACCCTATTTTGCATTTTTGAAAATAAAAGATAGAAACTTGAAACTTATACCCTTGCAAGGGGTATTTTAATTATAATTTGGGAAATGTCTCATTTTACATAGCACGCATGTACAGGGTAGCAAATTCTGCCGCAGCGGTGTCGGCACACTGACAGTGTGAGCACTCTCAAATTTTTTTTAGAAGCTCTCTCATTTGCTCTCATTTTGATTCATTTGACAGATCAAATTAAAAATCAAAATTTTTCCACAGAGAAAAATTTTCTCTGAAGTTGGGTTGGAACAAGTTTTCTCCATAGAAAATATAGATAGAGAAGCGTAGCTTTTCATTTTTTTAAGAACTCATGCTAGAAAAGCTTTCTTAGAAATAAAATACACTATTTTAGTTCCCATTCAAACTTTTGAAAAACGAAAAATGAAATAAAAAATAACGTTTTTTTCGCTCAGTGAATTCTCTGATCTCATTGTTTTTCTCTGCACACACTCAAATTTTAAACATGTGTTAGTTTGTCCCACCATTGTTTTAGAGTTAGAGAGTTCAAATTTTACACGAGATCTATACACGAAGACAGAAAGCTGGAATTTAGTACAGATTATATTTTTGGTCAGTTAATCCAACCTACCAAATTTCATAAGGATCGGCCGACTATATCCTATAGCTGCCATATAACTGAACGATCGGAAATAACCCAAATTTATTTGAAATGACCTCGGCCGGGATCGGCCGACTATATCATATAGCTGCCATATAACTGATTGATCGGAGATGGTATAACTTTGGTGTTTTTAGAGTCAGAAAGTTCAAATTTTACACGAGATCTATACACGAAGATAGAAAGCTGGAATTTAGTACAGATTATATTTTTGGTTAGTTGATCCAACCTACCAAATTTCATAAGGATCGGCCGACTATATCCTATAGCTGCCATATAACTGAACGATCGGAAATGACCCAACTTTTGTGTTTTTGAATATAGAAAGCTGGAATTTAGTACAGATTATATTTTTGGTCAGTTTATCCAACCTACCAATTTTCATAACGATCGGTCGACTATGTCTTACAGCTGCCATATAACTGAACGATCGGAAATAGTATTTGGTAGAAATACCAATACTTTGGTGTTTTTGAAAAAAGAAGTTTGGGATTTTTTTTTAAATTTTTTTTAATTAACTGGTTTTATTATAATATTCTCATGAGGATCGGATATATCATCTTCAGCTCCCCCGGAAGTTAGCTTTCCTTTCTTGTATAAAATAAAAAAATTTTTTTTTTGTAACAAAATAATTTTTATTTTTGGGTTTTTTTTTTTAATCAAAATCATTAATTTGGTGTTTTTTTGGGGGTAAAATCATAGAAGTACAAATATAAAATCAGAAATTTTAACTTTGGATAAGTATTCCAAAGACATGGTGCATGCTATATGGCTTTTTTTAATTTTAGTTGGTGCTAAACCCAATTACACAACCTACATAATTCAATATATGTCAAAATTTTTTCCATTTTTTCTCTTTTGTTTGTTCTGGAGCCTAAAGGTTGTGGAGCAGTTAAAATTATTCGTTAAGATGTTTTCTTGTCGCCCTGTGTTATTTACAATTTTA